ATAATTTATTAGTTTTAAACTCGTTTTTGGCAGATTTCTAAAATATTTGTGTTTCTTTCTGCTGGCAGACAAATGGCAAATGATCTGACATATTGAGTATTGTTTCACTACCTGGTCATTAACAGGTGAATTAGCATAGCGTTATTCACATTTTATCAATTTAACACTTTCAAGTTTCTGAGTTTTGATGATTTTAAACATTTCAAGTATGAATGTTTCATATTTAAGGGTTTACGTGGACTTGCTTTACATCCTTTAAATGAATTTAGTTGTCAAAAGATGGAGCATACAGTTTGTACTAAGGAAGGAAACTACACACTGGAACAGCATAACAATGGCAATAAAGCAGCACTCCACATACCCCAGTTCTCTTAAGGTGGACCACGCCTGTTACCAGTTTAAACTAATTTCTCTCCTATGTGTTATTTGTCTTTGTTTCTTTGTTTTGTAATGTTTTATGCAACCTGCTTAAGGACTAGCACTAGGATTGGCATATTCCAATCTTATATTTCTGGTATTCCGATACCCATTAAAAATTTATTGTCTCTATAGAAGGGAAGAAAGAAAGAACGAGTCTGCTTTGAAGAAGCTTTTTCAAGCTATTTTAACCTGTTTCCCTATAATAGGTGATTTCTAGGCTTTACCTTGAGTTTTTTAGCACAATACCTGCATCACAGTTATATCTCAGCCATATTAGATATTCAGAAAGAGAGATGAGATGAACCCAGGTGAGATATTCAGAATGAGGGGACAATAGCTAAAAAGAAAGGACAGTAGTTAGCTGGAGAGCTATGTTTTGAAATAGAGATCAAATAAAATATTACATAATTGGTATTATCAAAGCACCTCACAGTGAAGTGCTGCATGTCTGATGGAATACATAAATATAAAGTGAAGGAACATTGTGAAAACACATCAGATCTCAATGGGGAGAAATTCATGCTGGACATCTCTACTATTATGGACTACGTAATATGTTAGGAACCAAAGGATGTCACGTTGTTGATGGAAATGAAAATTCAGCAACTCATAATGTTGTTTGAGTTGTTGTTATTTAGCCCCCCATGTGCTATGCCTGTCAAAGTTGGGGCATTCTCCTAATGAGATGATGTCCATGGACCAGGGCATTGCTGAGCTCCTGGACAGTCTGAGGTGCAACTGGCAGCACTGGATGGAGTGAAACATAATGTCCCAGAGGTGTTCTGTTGGACTTAGGTCAGGTGAGTGTGGGGGTCAGTCAATGGTATCAGTTCCTTAATCGTTCAGGAACTGCCAGCATACTCTTGTCATATGAGGCTGGGGATTATCGTGCACCAGGAGGACTCCAGGACCCACTGCACCAATGTAGGCTCTGACAGTGGGTCCAAGGATTTCATCCTAATACCTAATGACAGTCACTGTGCTGTTAGCCTAGCATACAGAAGTTTGTGCATCCCTCCAGTGATATGCCTCTCCAAACCATCACTGACCCACCATTTACCACAGGCATGCTAAACTATGTTACAGGCTGCATAACGTTCTCCACGACTTCCCCGGACTCTTTCACGTCTGTCACATGTGCTCAGGGTGAACCTGCTCTCATTTGTGAAAAGGGTAGGGTGCCAGTGGTGGACCTGACAATTCTGGTATTCTATGAAAAAAGGCAGTCAGGCTCCACAGTGCCAGGTAGTGAGTACAGAGCTGACTAGACAGCCCAACATCGGCAGAGACATTCACACCAGTGGCCTGGCTCTGGCAGTGCTCATCTTGTTCCTCCTTGCACAAAGCAGAAGATACCACTCCCACTTATGGGTTAAGGACCCACTTATGGGTCTGACAGTTGGACGGCCCTGTCCAACTGTCAGAGAGTAACTCCAGAAGGCAGGCAATCTCCTCCATGACTTGATGCATGACTCTGATTAAATAGCGTTTCTTTATTTTTTTGTGTATTTTGGATGGATTAATGAGGAAGCCATTCAAATCCATTTTAGTAATAAACACAAGAGTAGAGTTGTGTGTCTCCTTTTTTCTTGAATGCCAGTATATGTGCACAAACAGTCAATATTAGAGGCAGATAGACAAAGTCACAAACACACACAAACCAATGCAGTTTTTAAATGATGCTCCTGCTTTTGCTGTGTTTCAGGTCTATCGTCTGTGCCACCCATGCCAGGTGAAGTATGACTTTATCGGAAAGCTAGAAACCCTGGAAACAGATGCAGAGCACCTGTTGAAGCTTCTGAAGGTGGATCATCTGATACGGTTCCCCTCAGGGGCTCAAAACAAAACTGCAGCCAGCTGGGAAAGAGACTGGTTTGCACAGATTCCCATTTCAACACAGAGACAGTTGTACAAGCTGTATGAGCTGGACTTTGAGCTGTTTGGATACCCCAAACCTGACAGCGTGCTTCACCAGTAGACCATACCAAGCCAAAGGCCCGGACGCTGCACTGTGTGTAGCGCCTACACCTTCCCTGCCTGCGCACAACGAGCACATGCCTTTAAAAAACAGTCTGTGAAGCTGTGTGTTTAATTTGTTTTATGCATACCTCAAAAGAAAAAAGTGCCTGTCTGCATTATTTTATTTTTGACATTATATCATATCCAAAGTGCACCAGCTTACAAGTTACTTTATCCCAGTCTGTGTTTCCTCATGCAATGGCACTTTAAAGAGTATTTTTTGAATACTGTATTTTGGTAAGTCATGAGTGAAGGTCTTGGGCTGCATGTTAGCTCACATTTCTGAGGGGAAAGTATGCAGAAAAATAAAGAGTTTTTAAATTACTGTGTGATCCTCTGTAGGTAATTTGTGTTTAAACTTTCTCAATTCAAAATTAGATTTTAATCTCTAATTACTTATCACTGGAAGTGCTACGAAGCTTGAGAAAACATCTACAAATCCTCTGTCTGCTTTGGTTCTGGAGGCATTTTGTCAAGTCTTCAGATCTCAGGTTGAGGAATAAGTGCTTTGCAAATTAGGAGGAACTGCCACTCATTTTTAAAAGATCCATTAAAGCCCTTTTTAAAAAAAAAAAAAAAAATCTGTATGTGAGTGCTTCACGAAAGTGGAGTAATAAATCCCTGCTCTATTTACCTTTAAGTATACTATAGAGGCAGAAGTTTGAATAAAATAGAACACATTAGTCCATCCATACTGCACAAAAGTCTCGACACAAGCCACTTCACACTGATCTGAATCATTTGAACATAAAGAATTCACCTAACTCAAGCGATGAACCTGTCTTGTGTCTACACAAAATAGACAACTTTGCAAAGAATCAGTTTTAAATTGTAACTCTAGGCACGTTGTTACTCACAAAAACACATACAATGTGTAACAAAAATAATATTTTTCCCATTTTCTTAGTTGATTGTACAAAAATTCCAAAGTTCTATTTTTGACAGGCATAAAATATAACTTTTGTATCAACAAGGTGATACCATTTCCCCCCTTAAAGTTTGTGAAAGTTGAATTCAAAAAAAGAAAAACTATAAAGAGCAGATAAACCATATCTGAAAGTCGTGTATGTAAGAAATAAAAAAAAAAAACAAAAAACAGTAAAGTCCTGAAACAGGACCTGAGAAATCCCTTCAGCTGATCTATCTACTGTTCAGTGAAGCCTCAACAGGGGTGACCGACAAGAAGCCATTCTTCATGAAATAGATAGAAAGGCTGAGATATGCTAAATTACACAAGAACTGGACTGAAAACACAGAACACAGAAAAGTACAGTCTGATTTTGCTCCACCATTTAACCCTTGTGTTGTCCTTGTGTTGTCATCAAGAGTATGGGAATCCCAAGGACATTACAAGGGTTAATTCCAACTGGAAAGGATCTGATCAGCGTGACAGTGATCACAAACACACCTGACACAGCAGTAAAGCATAGCTGAATAAAAAAACACAGTGGAACACTATCAGTCATTGATTGACCTCCCTGGAGCCCGGACCACAACATTACTGAAGCAATGTGGGATCATCTTACCAGAGGACAGAAGGTAGCCAACACCCAAAGAAGAGTTTTGAATGTCCTTCAAGAAGCCTAGAGAACTATTCCTGAAGATCACTTAAAGAAATTAAAAGAAAGCTGCCTAAGAGAGTTCAGGCTGTTTTGAAGAATACCAAATATTGACCTACAGGCTACACAGAATTATAACAACTGCCTAATATACTGTATTTCCATCTATTTTTGGATGTTTCAAAAAAAAAAAAATCACTGCATCTCTTTTCCATTTTCCAGTAATGAGACTAAAGATGATTTAATGGTAATGTATGATTCAAAGCCAAACTGAAATTAGATACTTAAAAAAAACAACAACAACAAAACAATGACTTTTTATTAAGAGTTTTTCCTTTATACATATAAACAAAAAGAGAGGAAAAGGATTACAGATGATCAGCACATTCGGGGTAATTAGCCCGTACACTTAAGGTTGTGAGATAAAAAAGAAAAAAGAAAAGAAAAAGAAAAAAGTGAAATAAAGAAAAAGAGAGAAATGTAAACATAAGTATAATATTTCCCCAGATAACATAATCCCTGCAAAATAATCCCATTCATTCCCACCGAGGTCAGATACCTTTTTTAAAACTAAAAAATAACACAGTATTTCCTTCCCTGTATTAAAGTGAAGTGCAAGAATAATTCGTTATATTACCTAACTAAACGTACTTTCCACCACTGATAGGTGTGTATAGGCTTCTTTTGGGCGGGGTGCTGAGAGAGAACAAAAAACATAATGCCTCCACTACTTTCGATTGCACAAAGACCCCCTCTTGTTGCATTTACACCTGCCCTGTTGTCTTTTTCCACGTGTTCCAGCCATTTCCACAGTTCCTCCCCTTCTGCTCCAAATATCTCCTCTCATTGGTGTAGCTTCCTGTCACTCAGCTGGGGCAGGTCTGTGAAAAGGGCCCGCCCACCTGTCCACTTGACAGTTCGTTGCTGACGTCACCGAATCCGTCCCATCACGGAAATATGGAGTAGTGACAGGAGATGTTACGCTGCGTTTGTTGTGGCTTTAAAGCAGCACTTCGAGCTTTGAATGTTCGTTTTTAGTAGCTGTCCGCATGGATTTAGCGATGTTAAACGCCCGTGGTTAACTTACGAACAGTGGCTGGCAGGCGCTGGAAATGGAAAGAGACTTCGACCTCTGTTTTTAGTTGAGTACCGTCAGTTGTTCGTTTATTAAGAGCCATGAAACAAAGTGTTTTAGGGGTCATGGGGGCTGTGGGGCGCCTAATCCTGTCTCTTCTCCTGCTGTCGTTGGAAGGCAAGCTGGTTCAGGTAAACTTTGTAACTTTGAGTTGTGTGGCGCTTTCTGCTTCTGTTGTTGTGAACACTGTTTTTGTGTTTCTATTTATGCCTAACGGAACTCCCAAATGGCATGTGTGTCTATTTCAGGCTCTAGCAAAGTTGCGGTGATATGATGGGACGTTTAACGTCTTTAGCTAGCTAGCTAGCTCACTCGTCAGAAGAAAGTTAATACTGTGTGTGTGTGTGTGTGTGTGTGTGTGTGTGTTTGTGTGTGAGAGGGGGGAAGAGAGAGAGTCAGCTTAGTTTGCCTGCTTCACTTGTACCTCTGCTTCAGGTTTACTCTCCTGCTAATGTATAAATATGGGAGAGGTGGACTCTCAGACACAGTCGAAGGGAACTTATTTCGACTTAAAGTGATTTAACTTTAATCTTAACATAAACTAAACTTAAAGGCAGTCAAGTCCCCACTTTTGTTAAACAACTGTATCTGCCCACAGCGTGAGTAATACAAATACACTTAGGTTAACATACACACCCCTCGGCATGTGGTGTCGAGTTTTGGAGGGCAGGGCAAATAAGGATATCCTGCTAAATCAGGAACACAGTGCACTTATTGAGTAGAAACTCACTGCAGGCCATTACAATCAACCCCCCACTCCCCAGTGGTGGACCTGACACACACACACACACACACACACACACACACACAAGCTATGCTGAAATCTTCGACACATGACACGACTGACCTCAATGTCAGACAGCTGTTCTAAAGTTTCAGTCTGTTTCTGTGTGTGTGTGTATGTGTGTGTTTGTGTTGTGTTTGTCTATCTAATTTCTTCTGGCGACCCTTCAGGTTGGTGGGGTCAGATCAGTCACCCTTCCAGAGTCCCTCCTGTTTGTCTCCACTCTGGACGGTAGTCTGCATGCTGTCTCCAAACAGACAGGAGACATCAAATGGACTTTAAGAGAAGGTCTGTACACAAAGAGTCAGTACTGTTTACTCTGTTGTATTTAATTATTTTTAAAAACATACATCATGAAGTTGCTCTTCTAATTCTTTCAGACCCCATTATTCAAGTTCCTGTCTACCTCACAGAGTAAGTAACATAGAGACACACAGACATGGGGCCCTGAGTACCACTACTCAGAAATAAAAACTTAACTTTCCTTAAAGTGTCACTGCTTTGCTGTTTTGTGCTTTTAGACTTATCTCAGGAAGAGTGAGCCACAACCCTTATCATCTAAATGCATAAACAGTTTACATAACTGTGGAAATTCTTCATCAAGTCTTGTGATTGCCTTTAAGCAAAGCATGGATCACACCAGAAAATCCTGTGTTAATAACAAACTCCGAACCTTAGTTTAAGACAAAGCTGATATAATTAAGTTTGAATCATATATTGATAGGGCAGCACGGTGGTGTGATGGTGCCCTTTCTGTGTGGAGTTTGCATGTTCTCCCCGTGTCTGTGTGGGTTCCTCCCACAGTCCAAAGACATGCAGTTAGGGGGGTTAGGTTAACTGGTGATTCCATATTGCCCATTTCTATTAGGAAGTTGTGTTATTGTTGTATAGATTGTATAGATGTTCTCTTTTTTTGATTGGGATTCATTTCTAAATTTGTGCACATTTCATTTAGACCAGGTTTCCTCCCAGACCCCAATGATGGCAGTTTATATGTACTCGGTGGAAAGCACAAGGAAGGTTTGATGGTAAGGATGCTTGTTTGTGTTATATTTCATATATTTAAAAAAAAAAAAAGAACTTGTTTGATTTATTGTATTGATAAATCTGCAGAAACTGCCTTTTACCATCCCTGAGCTGGTACAGGCAGCTCCCTGCAGGAGCTCTGATGGGATACTCTATACAGGTCAGATTAACACGTTTTTTTATCACCATGTGTGAAACAGACTGTCATAAAAGGAGACGCTGACTTACATCGCTGCTGTTTGTTAATCTTCGCAGGTAAAAAGCAGGATGTGTGGTTTGTGGTGGATCCTGAAACCGGTGAAAAGCAAACCAGTTTGACAACCTCCACCTCCGACTCCATCTGTCCCAACAGTCCCCTGCTCTACATTGGACGCACAGGTACGTCTGCACAGGTGGCTGCACCCGCTCACGTGGCTGAGGGTTGAAGGTTGATGGGCGTCACTGTTTGTTTTTCCCAGAATATGTTGTTACCATGTTTGATACGAAGACACAAGAGCTGCGATGGAACGCCACGTACAACGATTACTCTGCTCCGCCTTACGACGAGAAGCAAGACTACAGTACGTCCCTGCACGCACAATCAGTTGCTGAGTGTGAATACAGTTGTTTTGCCAGGATTATTGTGACATTGCACAAATGTAACTCATGATTATCCATTATTGTAGTATTTTGATACAGACTCTAGGTTATCTTTTACATGTAAACAGCTGGTTAAAATGATCTCAGACACTTCCAACACTAACATGTTGCCTCTGGTTTCCTTACAGAAATGGCCCATCTTGTTTCCAGTGGTGATGGTCTTGTTGTGACAGTTGACAGAGAGTCAGGTAGGGGGAGGTGTGTGGTTTTATCCCTTTGTGAATATTTTAACATCTCATATGATTGATGTGTTCCTTAACAGTCATATTGAGGGTTGTAAGTCCCGTGTTGTTGTTGTTGTTGTTTTCCAGGTGATGTCCTTTGGAGTCAGAACTATGGGTCGCCAGTGATCGGCGTCTACCTGTACTCTGGAGACTCGCTGAGACACGCCCCCCACCTGTCCCTTGCAATGGAAACACTGCGTTTTCTCACATTCTCGTCTGCTGGCAACCAGGCAGATGCACACTCCACTTTGAAGTGGAGCTATCAGTTTGTGAAGGAGCAAGCCACTGCACAGACTCAGCTTGTGTAAGAAGAATTGTGTTCACTGAAGAATAGAGGATTGTTTTGTTCAGTCTCTGAGTTCCTTATTGATTGTTATTCATGATGATCTAACCAGGACTCGGAGAAAATGCAAAGCATGTGCTTCAAATGCAGATGATGACAGATGACAGGGACTCCTCATAACTGGAGTTAACATGCAGCACAGATGCCAAGATCTGCTTCAGATCAGAATACCACCAGATATATTATCACGTATTAAAACACAGTTGCTACAGGCAAAAAGATGAGTTGAGGGGAAAAAAAAGATACAATGAAAGTCTCCTAAAAAGCTGTGAAACCGGTTCCTGGTCTATCTTAACTAGGGCTGGGTTTCGTCACTGATTTCTAGAATCGATTCGATTCCGATTCACAAGGTCCCGATTCGATTTAATTCGATTCACTTCGATTTGAATCTGGGAAATTTTGACAGTCAGAAATATTATAATTCAGATCAGTACATTTACATATTTTTGTATCTATAAAAAGGAAGCTGACACACGCAAGACTTTATCAAAGGCGTGAGCGTCACAGCAGATGCCTTTGTGTCAAAGTAGCTGAGGATAAAACACAGAAAAACATGAAGGTGATTTTCCTGGCCTGGGATTTTATAAAAATATTCTGCAGTACATCAATAACGAAAGAAAACCATTAATCAACATTACCTCTGAAATTACAGCGGTTTTATTAGAGACACAGCATTTTGCATTTTGCATAATTTTAAAAAGTTTAAATTTGTTCAGTATTGAACGGCAGAAATTAGGTTTTCTTTTCGGAAGTATATAAAATGAGAAAAAAAAAACGTTGGCCGACAGCGCTGTAAACAACGGTAGACTTGTGCGTAACAAGCAAGCGAATAATGAAGAAAACAGATTTTTAGATGGGAAACTGTTCTTGAAGTACAGAGAGAGGGAGAGAGAGAGCTGTGCATCGTGGTCGAAGCAAAACAGCAAAAGTCAGAGTGAATACATGACGATGTTTATGTGAAGCGTAGTTTGGATCTTCTTTTGCTGCTGGTTCGGTCAATATTGTTTGGAGAGACATCAAACTAACAGCTTTAGAATCAGCACATAAAGGGCGTGAACACAAAGCGCGGACCCGCCGACAGATCAGAATCAGCGAGCTGTCGGCTTTCAGCCCCGACTGTGAGAAAGGCGACATCTAACTGATTCTGATCCGCGGGTCCCAGCTGTGTGTTTAAGTCTTTGTGCAGAATCCGTCCTGCTCTCATTTACTGTCTTAGCTGTTTGGTGGTTGTTGAAATTTTGTGAGATTTCACCAGAGATTCTGGCATTTCATGCAAAATAAATTTATATTAAAAAATCGATTCAGGATTTTAATGAATCGATTTTACGTTATCCAAGCCAGAATCGATTTTAATCGATAAATCGATTATAAAAACCCACCCCTAATCTTAACTCCTGAAACCAGAGGAGACCCTTATTTTCAAGTCTTCATTTCATCTTTATTGGATAGAGACAGACGGGAAAGAGCGTATGATGTTTTAAATTGCTACACAGTCATGACTCTCATTTGATGCACAGTTGGGCTCATGAATACTTGGACAATGACTGAATTAAAATAACTCAGCTTTTATTTCCTTAAGGCCCACTCTCTATGTGGGAAAGCTGGACTCCCACCTCTATGCTTCGACTTCTCTTGTCCACCACGGAGTCTCATTAGTGGTGAGTTCAAGCTAAACAGTGTATCCAGTCAGCTGATGATTGAGGTGATAATGGGGAAAGTCCACTCCTGACTCATCTGTGCTCTTTGTTGCCACGGCAGCCTCGGGGACTGACCCTGGCACGGATCGACGGTCCACTGACGGCTGAGGTGACGGTCAGAGAGAGAGGGGAGTGTGAGATCACACCATCCACCGATGTGCGCTATCCTCCGGGGAGCATAAACAGCCAGAAAAACCACTGGCTGCTTATAGGTGAACGTGTTCAAACACACAGACAGCTTTCTTTATTAAAAATAAATAAGTTCTTCAGACACTAACCAACACAAATGACAACATTTGTATTAATGAAGTTATTGTCCAGAACTAGACAAATGGCTGCTGGTTTTTAATTATAATAATAATAATATTAAAAAAAATGCAGACTTGAACATAACAATGACACCTCCTTGCAGAGAAAATTGCAGTGAAGAAAAACGAGTAGTGAGCTGCAGGCTAACCTCACAGGCACAAACTCAGAAATAAAAGTGTTGACATAAATGACGTTTAAATCAATTAAAATAATAATAATAAAATGAAGCGTTAATCGATTCACAGAACGTAACATGAATTTGTGTGTTAATTTGCTTCTGTATTTATTTACCTTTCTGCTAATTCATCTATCCTTTACTCAGATAATTTGCATACTGCTTCAGTATGCAAATGAGTGGGCTGCTATCAAAAGAGTGCAATGGGGTCAGTCTTATGCATATTGTTTGGCTCACAAATGTAATGGCTGCCTCCACTTGTTAGATCGCTGGAGACCTAATTAATCTAGCCGAAAACAATACTGTCAGTAAGGAATGATTAATGAGGAAAATAACTAATTCAGTACAAATGTAAACAAATACACACCCATGTCAAAATGGAGATATTTATTTAGTGTATCATTTTTTCAGTTAGTGCATATATACTCTTGCTACATTAAATAATGATCTATTTAAGTATT